TCCGTTACTTGGGCACCATAATTCAGAAGGACGGTGAGTTAGATGGAGATGTATCCCATAGAATCAGAACAGGGTGGATGAAGTGGAAGAGTGCGTCAGGATTTCTATGCGACCGAGGTATGCCGACTAGACTGAAGGGTAAATTTTATAGGACAGCAATTAGGCCTGCATTACTGTATGGCGTAGAGTGTTGGGCGGTGAAACAATGTCACATTCAAAAGATGAGTGTGGCAGAGATGCGCATGCTGCGTTGGATGTGTGGGCATACTAGGAAGGACCGCATGAGGAATGAGACAATCAGACAAAGGGTGGGAGTAGCACCTATTGAAGACAAGATGCGGGAGTCGCGCCTACGGTGGTTTGGTCATGTGCGTAGAAGACCGAGTGATGCACCTGTTAGGCGAGTTGAGATGTGTGGAGAAGATGCAGGGAAGAGAGGGAGAGGAAGACCCAAACAGACGTGGGTTAGGGGAGTTCGAAGTGATATGCTTCTTCTGGGGTTGGATGAGGGCATGACTTTGGAGAGAACTAAGTGGAGGGCGGGTATTCACGTGAAGGAGTGATCTTGATAATCTTTTTCCCTCATCTTTTTTTTCCTAGTTTTTTTATCCCTATATATATGCATTATTTGCAGCCTTTTTATTTTATCATTTTTATATATATTCATCTTTTTTATATTATCTTTTCATAATAGCTTATCTTTTTATCTTTATTCCTTCTTTTCCTTTTGGTTGTGATATCATGTATCGATTCATGTTAGCCGACCCCAATATCTTTTGGGACTAAGGCTTGGATGTTGTTGTATTATACTGTAGTTGGTATTCATAATTATGATGTTATAAATGTATTATTTTTAAAATTTAATGATTAATTTGTCACTTAAGTTTGTTAATTGTTTCCTAAAATGGTAATGAGAACCTTCTTTTGGGACGTCCAAAAAAGGAAAGTGTGAACCTTCTAATGGGACGGAAGGAGTATAACTTTAAACATAATTATAGTCGCTAATAGTTAATAACTCTTATTTTTATCAACTATTCTTATTTTGTAGATATATTATGATTTATTTATTTATTTAATACCGAATAATCCGTATTGAGGTAGGAAAATAGAAATATTGCCTAATAAACTTTCCGATTTTTTAGATTTTTATATATGCAACAATATTGATGTTATTTGAAAGATCATAAGAAATTATGAGTTCTGATATGCTCGTATATTTTTGTAAAAAAAATTAAAAATGAAAAAGGTTTACCACTTTTTGAAGAAAAAGATTTTCTTCAATAACCGCCCAGTTATTAGCAAGTTTATCTTCTTATATCTAAAACTCTTACGTATGAGAGAGAAATTTGTCTCGCTTAATTGTTAGACGTCTCATCTCATCTCATACCTTAAAGCACTAGATGTTAGAGAGAAAAGGTATTTTGTTCAATAGCTTCTTATACCTAATAGCAATACAAATGAGAAAGAAAATTATCCCGCTCAACAGTGTCGAAACAATATAATTTACCCTTCAGTAAGTTTATTTCAAATGGGAAGTTAATTTCGAGACGGAGGAAGTAGTATATTTTGAAATGAAATATTGGAAATCTTCTTATCTTATAGTACTTAAAAGAACTAAATATGAAGGAGAAAGCTATGTTGTTCAATTGGTAGCAAACTTATTTTGTAATATCTAAAAACATTACATAAGAGAGAATTCTCACACTGAATTCCTCTGCTCAATTGTTAGCAATCGTATCTTCTAATATCTAAAAGCACTATATATGAGAGAGAAAATTTTCCGCTAGATTATTAACAAGCCTATCTTTTTATACCTAAAATCTTTACATATGAGATTGAAAGTTCCTCTGCTCAATTGTTAGATAGATTACCTCATACCTAAAAGCACTACATATGAAAGAGAGAAATTACTCCGTTCAATTGAAAAACCAGGGTTTTCTTTATCTTGGACCCCACCAATTGCATCTCCGAGCCAGCTGCATCGTTCCCTTTGCTGCTCAACCATCCTTTTGAAGTAGAAAGACGCCACGTGGTGAAAAAATAAAAAGGGAGTGAGTTTTTTGAGAAGTTAACACGTTTGAATTTATTTTTTTTAAATGTAATTTACCGAGACTACTGTTTTCTTATATTAGTACATGAATAGAAAATCGTGAATCAAAGTTTGCATACTTCAAATCTTTTCATTCGGTATATTTTTTTGCTTGCGTTTAAGATGTAAACATTGTCTCTTTACTTTTTTGTTAACAACACCGAGTCAAGGTTATCGTTGTCACTAAAGAATATTAATTGGTCATTCGAAATTGAGGGAAGAAGAAAAATCTTTCATCCACACTTGAATATTGGTTAGATGGATGACAAAAAATGCGCATATGACCATGAAATTGAATTGTGTTCATATCTTAGAGAAATTAACATAATAGAGTTTAGGATAGATGAATTACAACAATAATCATGTAGTGTGAATAAAAAATAAATAATGTATTCAAATACAAAACGTACATACAATAACTTTTCTCAAGAAATGTATTTTTCTTATATTTAGATCATATATTAGGAACTTTTTTTATATTCAACATGGGAAAAACCGTTTTGAGGTTGGAAAATAAGAAGATTGTTTAATAAATCTTCAGATTTATTTTTTAAAATCTATATAGGCAATACTGTGTCACATGAAAGATCGTAAAAATTACAAATGTTGATATATGTCTTATAAAAATTGAATCAATGATGAAAAGGTTAAAACACTTTTAAGAAAAAATGGGGTTTTCATAACATGGGATGATAAAACATTTATTCTTATATTCGAACGAATCAATATCACTATCAATTTGAATGTGTTCATATCTTAGTGAACCGTATGTTTCAGGCATGTTCACACTTTAACTTGATTTTAAAGGCTGATTTTGGTTCTTATAAGTTATAACATCTGTAAAAATTAAATAAATGCAAACATCACATGATATAGATGGTGAAAAAATAATTTATAACTATCATAATTTTATATCAAAATACCATTTTTATATGAAAATACTACTCCCTCCGTCCTGAAATTAACTTCTCACTTTACTTTTCGAGCAGTCCCGAAATCAACTTCTCACTTCTTCTCACTTCCTTATTTGGCAAATTATCTACATAAAAACAATGTCAAACAGTGTCATTTTATAAATATATCAAAATAGATATTTATATTAAAATGCTGTTTTTATATCAAAATATATATATAAGAAAATATATATCTCATCAGAGTACCATCTTATATCAAATTACCATTTTATACCATTTTATCAACCATGTTTATTTAGTTCATATATTAGAAACTATATTCAATAAAGAAAACTGATCTATAAAAAAATGATTTTGAGGTTGAAAAATAAGAAGATTGTTTAATAAATCTTCAAATTTGCTTTATAAAATTTATTTAGGGAATACTGGTGTCAAATGAAAGATCGTAAAAATTATAAATTTTGATATGTTTTTTATAAAATGGGATCTATAATGAAAAAATTAAAACACTTTAAAGAAAAAATGAGATTTTCATAACATGAGATCCACATTTAAAAGTTAAATAAATGTTCTTGGAATTATTATTCGGTATTTAGAAAGAAGATAGGAAGAAGTATAGGTTGCCACATATCAAAATAATAGAAATGGAGCGAAATAAGGAGAGATAGCCATGTGTGAATTTGAAGAACAAAATAGTATTTTGATGAGCTATCTCTTTTCTTATATAAAATAGAATAGAATAGAAGTGGAAGAGTAAAATAGTTTTTTTAGAAAAATATATATATTTATTTAGCTTTAATTTTGTGGCCGTGAATCACGTGATTAGTAATGTGTGACTGTGAATAGCTAGAATTTCTCTAAAATCATGCTCTTAAACCCGATTGGACCAAAAACAATCGACTAACACTAGCCCACCAAAGCAAGACCCAATTCAGTGGTTTGCAAAATTTCAAATTTTATATTTTTCAAAACATAAACAAAAAAACTCCAAACCCTGTTAATAAACACGTTCTCAATTTAGTGACAAACATAGTATAAAACTCCAAACTATAATTGTTGTTGTTGATCAAATTGTGATCATAGCCAAGAGAATGGATGCACACTCATAGTGAAAGGGGAGACTACTATACTTCACCATCAAAGTGAAGATTGCTCGGAATCAAGGAAGTCAAAACTATTTGAGCATCTCTATACTATTTGATCACAAAAATGGGAAGGCGGCCAACTCGAGACAAAGGGAGAGATTGTTACGAATATATTATATTGTGTTCATTTGTTCTCTTTGTATTTGTTTATTTAATAGATTAGTCATTAGACCAGATTAATTATGTATTTGGGTCCGTAAGCCTTTTGTAATACGTAAGCCTAACATTCAGATATATATCTGAGTCTGAGCTTCCGTAAGCCTAAATTTTGGAGGCATTCATATTTTCCCAGAAATAGTGAGAGCGCCGTTTTCGAGGGCCAAATATTAAATACACTATATCGTAACTTCTCGTTCATCTTTATCGTATTCAATATAGCCTGATCGGAAGCCCCGTGCGGACAACACCATAAGAGGTCTTCTCGGTGGAATTTTTGATGAAATGTTTGGAGCTTCCTCATCAAGTCTAGTTTATGCATACCAAATTTTAGCTCAAAATTCAATCGGGAAAACATTTAACCAAATTCTTGAAATATACTGCGTTTTATATATGTATAAAATGTGTTGTAAAAGAAGAGTCGCCACTTGGAATGACGACTTTTGTACTGTAAGAGAAGAGTCGTCACTTCAAGTAGCGGCTTTCCTTAACCACGATTAAGTCTACAGTATTTTGAAAATTATTTTTAACCCATCAGTATTTTGAGAATTATTTATTTAATTAACATTATTCCGAGAAAAAACTCAATTTCGAGAAATTAAGTCATATACTCTTATTTTTACCATTTGTGTCTTAATTACTCTTAATTAGCCCTAAAAATTTCCCAGCATCCGGCGACCCGACCCAAGCGAGTATACTCGTAGATTTGCCTCCTGAAGTCTGCAATAGACAGCAGCACAATAATCCGGAAAAGCCGTCTTTATTTTTTGGAGTCGGCTCATTTTCGCATGACCAAAGAAAGGGGGGAATCGGTTTCCTGATTCAGACATATGTTCGTGGATTTTCTCGTCTACTACGCTCTCGACTCAATTCCCTCAGAACGACAAACTCCCGCTCTTCACAGCTGAGATTAGCTCCAAAACCATATAAAGGGAAAGGCTAAAGAACTCCGTATCTGAATCTCTCTTTGGTTGGGACTTCAGAGATTTTGTTTGTGTTTTTTTTTTAATTTCAATGGCCGCAAGTGCGAACGAGTCGCCGGGAAGCGGTAATGATAATAGCAACGGCCAGGATGGGACGGGCACCGCGAATGGCGTCACCACTAACGGCGTATCTGTACCTGAAAGGTCGGTGTTGGGGCCTACCCAGGCGGCGCTCCGCCACAACCCCGGCATATCCGTCGAATGGACTGCCGACGAACAGTCTATTTTGGAAGAATTACTCACAACGTTAGTCTTTTTTTGCTCTCCTCTTTATCTTTTTTATCTTCGACCTCTAAATTTCCATATGGATACCCCTGTTGGATTGGATAAAGCTTTGAATTTTTTGCTTGGTTAAAGTTTTGAGTTGATGTTGAAGAGAATAGTCCGGTTTCCTAGTCAGCGCGAAAGATTCTTTATTTGGGCTCTTGTATATTAGCGTCCCATTGAAAAAGGGAAAGATGGGAAATTAGGGGAAAAGATATGCTGAAGGTTAAGATACCTCCAATTTATCCAAACAGAGCCCCCAATCATCAAATGGATTAAAGTATTTTGCATATGCTGTCTTGTATAAAATGACATTATAATAGACCTTCTTTAGCAACTTATAAATGGCCTGCTATGTTTCTGATTATCTTTTATTAACTGTGACATATCACCTTTTGAACATGCCCCAGCAATTTCAAATGCATTTTCTTTAGACTGTGATCTGACTTTGTACTATGGCATTTGCAGATATGCTAAGGAAAGTAACATAGTCCGCTATGCAAAAATTGCTATGCAGTTAAACGATAAGACTGTGCGGGATGTAGCACTAAGATGTAGATGGATGACAGTGAGCTTCTGATTTCACTTGATTTTGCTATTTCTCTCTCTATATTTTTGCACACATCAAATATGCCTCTGCTGACATGCCATTTTACATATCCGCCATCAAACTATTTGAAATGCGAGTTGAAAAGTAATACTTTTATGCTGGCAATTGATAGATTTCTCTATGAGTTCCTTAGAACTCACATGCACATGGCCATTGAGTGGAAAATTTGTAATTCTAGACAATTGGTATATTGTTTTCTACATCCTTGGATTTTATGAATAAATTTGCAAAGGCATTGTTTAAGTAGAGAAGCTATATGCAGCTTCATTTTGGAGTGATGACCTGCTATATCAGCTACTGTTGTAAGTCTTATCTAATTGCTTCTTTTTTTGGTTGTAGAAAAAGGAGAACAGCAAGCGGAGAAAAGAAGATCATAATTCGTCAAGGAAAAACAAAGAAAAAAAGGTAACCGAGTCTATGTGCAGCACAATTAGCCAGTCAAGATCTGCAATTTGCTTACTTTTCTTCAACTTTGATCTCCTTTTTTCAGGAAAAAAATACCGAGCCGGTGTCAAAATCCATGCATGTTGCAAATCACACAAATGTTCCTGTCTATGCTCAACCTGCAACATCGTTAGACAATGATGATGGAATCTCTTACAAGGGTATGTTGTAATATTGGTTAAACTTAAAAATGACTTCTAACAGTTTTTCAATGTTAGACTATTAGTTCATGTTTGACGAGGGTAACCCTGACATTATGCTTGCCAGAAACTTTTCTCTTATTCAGGAAATTGGTGACTTGGTGTAGGGATTGGAATGTGGTATTATGACGATGGTATACAGTCCTGTGTTAACTTTCTGCAGTAATATGTGATATTTGCACGAGTAGTACTTGCTTAAAGAATGCATGGTGATAAAACCTTCGAGCCAAGTTGTCAGACTGATTTACTGTTATAGGGTCAGCTTTGATGAACGGTTTGGAGGTCTAAGTGTGTATCTTAGTACTCTGTATGTATCTTGATATGTATTTGTGATTCTTTAAAGAAACTGTAGGAATAATGCAATAATAGGTAATCATATAATATTTCAAGATTTTCAACCACCATTTATTTTTGTAAGAATATTCTCTTTATCAAGATATAGACTTAGTCCTCCAAAACCCTCCACCTAAACAGACTCCCTTAGCGTATTGAGATCTAGCCTTGTCTCTGCTTCATGTTGAAGCTCTATGTTTATGTATTTTTTTTTTGTTAGAACCGTGAGGAAATGGACTACATGGTGATTCACCATGCATTCCCATTCCTGGTTGGTCTACATTAAATAAGATTTTCGGGTATAACTTAAGTTTGTTTTTGGTACTGTGGTCTTGAATGAATGTAAATGCTGTGATGTTTACAGTAATTTTTTGGTACTGTTGGGACTTATATTATAAGTTTACAGTAATCTTTTCCCTTGAACATGAAATAATTCAGAGTTAATACGCACATAGTTTCTTTTTTATAATTTATAAATGAGAGTAGTAATTGAACTTATCTTGTTTTAACACTTCTTATGGAAATGAAAAATACTGTGTACTAGTTAATAACTTATTTCCATCATTTGCAATGGAGCCAAAGATTCATTATTTTTTGGCTTGAGATTATGATGGAATAAAGCAAAATGGCTCACTAAACTGTCTGGCGCTTCTTTGTTATGGAGCAGCAGTCGGTCCATGCGATTTTGGACGCGATTTTCACTATGGGTCATCCGGAAACAGTCTCTCCCTGCTTTAGTGCAGGGGTAAGACTGCGTACATCCGACCCCCCTTACCCCACCGTAGGTGGGAGCCTTTGCGGCACTGGGGTAAATGAAAATGATGATGATGATGACTAGTTAATAACTTATACTATCTCCACCCTTAATATATCTCCAGATTTGACTTTGGACTGTTCTGAATTAAGTGGAAAGTGGTGGTTGAGATTTGTTTCGATGGGATAGAAAAAATATCCACCACTGAATCATTTCCTAGAAAAAGGAAAGAGGAGACGGTTTAAAGGAAAACCAAAAAGGAAAGAATAAAGATTGAAAAGGGACAGCGGGAATAATAAACTGTTGTTGTTGTACACAAGGTTGTTAAAATCGCGAGTTAAATCGTAAAATCGTACGATTTTACGATTCAACATCATACAACCGATTTGAATCGTACAAAAAATCGGAAATATAAAAAAACGTATAAAATCGTATTTGAATCGGGTAAAATTGTATAAAATCCTGATTTCTTCCGACTTTACGATTTTAGAAACTCATGCTCAGCTTCAGCTGAACATGGCCCAAATTGCTTGGGCTAGTAACGTGAGTGTTGCTACCTGCCTATTGCGCTGAATACCCGAGGGTTATATAGTGGAAGGGGAGGGGAAACTGCTTTGGTGCTTCCGGTATGGGAAAGTTGTAAATGAGAAGTAAGAATATTTCTTTAAAAATAAAAACTCTTGGCCTCAGCAGGGATTCGAACCTGCACCTTTTTATAAAAACTCTTGAATGACATTTATTCTTGATCACATGAAATTGTTTTGCTACTAATTATTTTGTGAACTTTAATGAACACATCACTGTAAGACTTAAACATATAATGATTTGATCTATAGACTTAAATTTGTAATAGTTTGACTATTTAATGCTAAATTGTAAGTTTCATTTTATATAATATTTTTAGTAATTTTTATTTCATTGTTTCATTAAATCTTATGATTTACGGTTCATTTTTACGATTCGATTTTTAAATACTCATTCTGATTCGATCCAAAAATACGATTTTAACAACCTTGGTTGTACACATGTGGTATTTTTGGATGGTGGAGAATCTTATGATCACTTAAGAATTGTAAGATATACTTTTTTGTCATATACTTGTGTATTGATTCCTTATTCAACCCCCCTCTTGTTGGACTTCGTCATTCGCAGAAATTGGTGGCCCAACCGGACAACTTCTTGAACATATTGCTCATTCCTTGGAACAGATTTCTACAAATTTTGCTACATTCAAGGTTAGTGTGGAGTAGCCCTTTTGTTTGAAAAAGGCAAGTGTTAACAAACATGTCTTGGCAGATTGTTATATATATTGAGTGACTCATGTGTGTATGGTAATGGCAAATGCCCTTCACACTTTATATTGTACTCCTTCCATCCCAACTTAAAGTTCTCACTTGCCATTTTTGGACGTTCAGCTAAAGGTTCCCATTTCCATTTTAGGAAATAATTAGCACTCTAAGACGACAATTTAATCGTCAAATATTTAAAATTATTCATCTATAACATCACCGTTATCATCAATGATCCCATTTATATTACTTACCCATCAAAACTATTTCTCAAAATATACACGAATTACCTTATTTAATTATTGTCTAAATAAATGTGCCATTCTTCGATGTGAACCTTAAGTCGGAATGGAGGTAGTACATTGTTTAGATTGGAGAATTGGTTTCAACCCTGGTTAGGTGGAGTTCCTTCTCTCTTGAGGGTCTGTTTGGATAAAGGTTTTAGGGACTAATAAAAGGAGTTTATTTGATTTATTGGTTATGAACATCATTGAGAACTCATATAAAAGCACGTGGATGCACATGCTACTTTTGTGTGTGGGGGGGGGGGGGGGGGTCTATTTTCGCTTCCAGTTGGGAAAAGTTTATCACATTTCTTTTTTTTGTTTCCCCCCAAACTGACAGGACTTATATTTTACGTCACTCTCCTTTCATGCAGATACATGAGAACATCGGTCTTTTCTGCCAGACTCGAAATAATATCCTCTCAATCTTAAATGAGTATGTATACTAAAATATTTACTGCAAGCAGTGTTACCTATGTTGCTAGCAGACGGCATTCTTCGTATTTTCTGTGTCATATAACCCCATGTTGGGCTGGTGTGCAATTGGAATATTTTTATTTGTTAATTTTTTTAATAACTCAATGTTTTGTGACGACAAGATATTAAGTTAACTATACAAGTACGTGATCATGATGAACTGGTATCTGGTGATACTTGTGAAGAAAATTATATAGTGAGTAGCATAAATTGCATAATAGAACCTGAATATATATACCGGGTTCATGTTTGTGTGCTTCTATTGAAATCTGATTTCGCCCATGTGCGATTACTTAAGCTACTCTTAGTAGCTTCTCCCTAAATATGGCATTTGAGACGGGATTTTGGCAGTCATGTTTATCCCGTGCTTGGTTTTCTTCATAACCATGTTGTTGTTCTATAGTAAAGTCATTATACTGCATGCAGTCTGAAAGATATGCCGGAAACGATGAAGCAGATGCCACCACTCCCTGTGAAGTTGAATGAAGAGCTCGCAAATTCAATCCTTCCTCAACCGCTCTTGCCAAACCAGTCTTGAAATCCTGGATGCTGTTGCTATGCTGAATTTGAAAATTTTATCTGCATTTCCTGTAGGCATAGTCTAGGAATTTTCTTTCCCAATGTTGCTCCTGCAATTTTCTCCACTTTTTGGGGGGGTTGGTGTATTCAAGTATAGGATTAGGTTATTCAGTGCTGCAAGTGACATTGTCAATATAGGTTCTTGTGTCCAAAGGATTTCTTAGTCTGTAAATAATTCGTTTGGAAAATATCTCCATTATTTTCTGCCTACATGACTCTCCTTTTTGCTTTCATCCGAATAAAGTAATAAAATTTGAGTTTTCATCTTCTTCTTGTAGTCAAAGTCAAGTCAATTATAAATAATACTCCGTACATTAATTACTTGCTTCAGGAGCCATTGATTGATATTCTGCTTGTGCGCTTGGCCGTACAAGAATATTACTACTCCCTCCGTCCCGCTAACAATGAGACAAGAGGGAATGACACGCAAATTAATAAAACATGGTTTATGTGGTTGATATTGAATTGATAAAGTAAGAATGATTTATAGCCACACAAACTTTACCAAATTTGGTATGAGACAATCTTAGTGGGATAGACCAATAAGGTAAAATGAGACAATCATAGCGAGACGGAGGTAGTAGTATGTATTTTTTGCTTTTTAACGAAGAAACAATATCAAGTTTAACTTGCATTATGTCAAGACTCAAGTCTGCATTTGTCATTTGTGAATTCAACATTAATCTGTCTTTCACATTGTTCACTTTTGGTATTTAACTAATGTTTTTGAATCATTTCTAATTTTTTAACTTTTGGTCGTACGAATTTTATGTCAATTCAACATGAATCTGTCTTTCACATTGTTCACTTTTGGTATTTGACTAATGTTTCTGAACCATTTCTAATTTTTTCGTCCAATTTTCTGATGCCTTTTTGGTGACTTTAACCACTAGAAATATCAACCGAAGGATCATATATGAGTTAAAAATAATAGTTGTGTATCAAAAGTGGTCCAAGGCGTGGAACAAATGTGGAATTAGTGTGATACTCATAGTACCAAAAGTGAAATTTACTCCAAATAATAGATTTCTAAATGTACTGCCAAATCTGAACAAAATCATTCCCATACGGCCACACCTTTAAGTAAAGGATGTCGTGACTCATGAGAATACTAAAAGAAACAATCAAATGAAGTAAATATATTCCATACCAAGCGTTGATATTTATTTACATATAAGAAAGTTTCCATTGGTTTGGTTGGAATTGATGGTTTGACATTAGCATATCCATGGAATTGTGAAGTGGTTTACAATTCATCATACTATTTTCTTCAAGTATATCTAATGAATATATGTGTTGATATACAGTCTCCTTGCCTAGATTGTGCATCCTCAATCTCTACCAAATATTTTTAGTTGGGAAAATGGAAATTAATGATCCAATCTTTTAGCGGTCTTCTTCCAACAGTCTCATCTTTTCATTATTCATGAATAATCCAACCTTTGCACCTTATCTTCATTCACTGGTCCCTGACCGATTTATGACTTGTTATTCCAAGTTATTTTCTTATCTTTGTAAGACATTATACCATAATTCACACCTTATGATCACATAATGTTTTGAAAAGATAAGAAAATAACTTGGAATATCAGGTAATAAATCGGTCAGAGACCAGTGAATGAAAATGGAGTGGAAAGATTGGACTATTCATGAATAATGAAAATGTGAGACTATTGTAAGAAGACCGCTAAAAACTTGGATTATTTGTTTCCATTTTCCCTTTTTAATTTCCTTCAAAGTTCTGAAACAGTTGTAACTTGAATAGTAATAGTATCTCTATGGTTGATCTCTATTATGTCTAGTATAAATACATATTTTTTTGTTATTATCTATTCTTTGTATTTTTAAAGATATACTTTAAAGCTATTCTTTGATTTTTGTTATAGTGGAGCGGTTCCGGTGAGTAGGGACTCCCACGAGAGAAATGAGAATGAATCTGAACCGTTAGATTGTATTATTTGAAATTGAATTATGCATTTGGTGAAAATGAAATGTGCATTATGTGAAATTGAAATGTGCAGAAAAAAGGTAAAACCCAAATGCGAATTACGTGAATTTGAAATGTGCAGATTAAAAGACAAACATGTCACCGCATCATAGTTTTTATTTTGCACATTCTAGTTTCATGTAATGCACATTTTAGTTTCACCTAATGCACAATTCAGCTTCACATAACACAACGTGTCGTACTTTTTATGTTGCACATTTCGATTTCACCTAATGCACATTCAGGTTTACCTAATAATGCAGATTTCAATTTCACAGATACAATCTAACGGTTCAAATTCATTTCATTTCTCTTCAAAAAATCATTTTCTCATTTGAACCTAATTCCTATTATAGTATTGATAGAGATCTTTTCGTAATCTATATTATACTTCCTTTTTTTTCTTAAAAGTTGCAACATTAGAATTTTTGCATTGTTCACATATCTTACTTTCACCACGGTTTTATACTAATATGTATAATCAAATAATTATGTATAAAATCTTATTAATATTCTATTCATGTTAATATTCTAAATATTAACTTTTATAATTTTTACTAATACGTAATTAAATATAATTACAGTCAAAGTTGTGCGTTGGCAAACGTGAAAGTCAAATTGTTGCAACTATTAAAGAACATATGATAGTACTTATTAGGGTTGGTGGGTGTAGTCCAATGGATGACCATCCACCCCTAAGTCTCTCCTTTGTGAGAGGTCTTGGGTTCAATTCCCACCAAGGGAAGATAAGGAAGGTCTTGCTCCCAATGATTCTTCTTACATTCAGGTAGGGGTGAGCATAACGGTTCGATTTGACCGAACCGAACCGTACCAAACCGAATTAAACCAAACCGAAACCAAACCATTTGTAATTTGGTTTGAGTTTGGTAGTATTCCTCCCAACCCGTATTAAACCGAACCAAAACGAACCGAAATCATAAAACCGAATAAAACAGAACTAATTTAAAAATGAATTAATTTCTTATTTTTTAAAAAATAACAAATCAAAACCAACTTACACCAAACTAAACCAGACCAAAATATAAGATTTTTCTCATTAATTTGATTGATGTTAATCTTTTTGAAGCTTTAATTCTTTAATGTTACTGTCCAGGACTAGAGTTTACTACAAGAGTTACATTCACAACTATAACAATTATAGTGGTTTAAGTAGATAGTATTTAACTATAATTTATTATCTACTACTACTATATATTTAGTTCATTACTTACAAGCACCAGTTTTGTTTTGTTTCGGCTTTATATATAATTTGATTCATTCCCGTTGTTGTTGCTTACAAATGTGTCATGCTTATATATTTTTGGTTCATATGTGTTTTGTTACTGTTTGCAAATTTATATCTAACATTATATTTGGTTCATTACTATTGCTTCTTGGTTCATTATTTTGAGTTAATTTTTTTTATTTCAATCCAACCCCTAATACTTTGGTAAACCGAACTCCAAACCGAACCATACCAAACCGAAACCAAACCGAAACTTAATCGGTTTGTATTTGGTACATTTTCTATCAAACCGATTAAACCGAAACCGAACCGAAACCGAAGAAAACCGAACCGAAAACCGAAATGCCCACCCCTGCCTTCAGGCCTTGGAGGGTAGTTTATAGACTCCAGGATTATGGGAACGCAAGCCTCGACACCAGGATTATAAAAAAGGCTTGACAATAAGTTGTGAATTGTTTACTTTTGTTACCATGCACATTGTCGAGTTTTTGATGGAAACTCAGATAAATATTTATTTAATTAATAAAACACTACACAAGTGTCTCACTTTGTCTTCGTATTAGAAATGTCCATTTGCGACTAAGAGAAATTGTTAATTGTTGGGATAATGGGCCGGTCCAATACTATACCTGGTCTTGGGCCTAACCCACTATACCTGGTCTAGGGCCTAACCCGGCTAGGGAAGATGGATCTGGGATTATTTATTTGTCTGTTGGGCCGACTGTCCCATGAGCGTGAGTGTTAGTTGTTTAACTGGGACAAGCCCATTATCTTTAAGGTTCAAGCCACTTGTAAGCGCCTATAAATAGGCCATTCACTCTTTGTATTAGACACGTCACTTTTACTATACCAAATTGCTATCGCTTTCTCTACTCAAGTTATTTTCTACCAACATTGGTGCTTTCATTGAGAGCTATTCTCTCATTTTCTCGGTAGAAACTTTGCAGAGGAAGATGCCAAGTCTCTACCCTCGAAGTCTGATGCAATTCCATCTGTTGCAGGGGAGAAGTGTAAAGCTTGCCTCATCAGTCATCCAGCTCCCGCTTCCAGCATTCCATCTGATGGAGTATATGGGTCCAGATCCCATGACCCACATACTTAGAAGACAAAGAGGAGCACATCTGTCACCCAGCGGGCCCTCCATCGACCAGATGACACCCCATCGGCCGACGAAGAGTCAATCCAGAATACGTTCCAGAAGCCAAGGAGAAGACTTGTCCTCCCTCGGTCGTGCCTCCCTCGGTCGTGCCTCCCTCGGTCGTGCCTCCCTCGGTCGTGCCTCCCTCGACCAGAAGTAACTCACAAAACTAGGTTTCTCATGTAATCAGCCCAATAGAGGCCTTATATTGTAATGGGCCTCCCAAGCCCAAGTAGGGGAGAACAAACCCGACCCTATCCGATTAACCCGATCGGATATATCCGATTTTATTTTTTGGGTCGGATAATCCGACCCGAATGACCCAAACCCGATCCGATTTTTGCAACCCAAGAGTTAAGCGGGTAGCGGGTAGGGTTACCAATTATGCTACCCGACCCGCCCGAAAACCCGAACTAGAGTAGTATATATACTACTTTGAATTATTATGCATGTTCAAATATCTCAATTATTGTATGCCGATTACCATATTATGCATATTCAAATATTCCAATTGCCGTATTTGTAAAACTATAACTTTGAATGTTGTATTGTTATGATTTTGAATGATATTTTGACCAATTATCATTTTATTTATCACAATATCAAATATGTCAATCACCGTATATTATTATTTTACATGTTCAAATATGTCGATTACCGTATTTATACAACTATTACTTTGAATGTTATACTAGTATAATTTTGAATGATATATTTACCAATTACCATTTTATTTATCACAATTTCAACAAAAATAAATTAAAATCCGAATGGACCCGAAAACCGAACCAACCCGACCGAAACCCGAACTTCTTCAACCCGAAAAACCCGGTAAATTTTTTGACCGGGTAGGGTTTGAAATTATCAATCTGATACCTGAACGGGTTAACCATTTTTTAACCCGACCCGCCCGAACCCGACCCGTGCTCTACCCTAAGCCCAAGGCT